CCTGTCAATATTGGATTACCAAAAACAAGTATTTTTATTACAATTCTGACATATAGAAAGGGTTTACATTTGTAACTGTCTTGAGATATTTAAGGGCAAGAGAAGCCACACAGCTACATACACAGTGAACTTCTATGCATAATATTTTAGATCAGATTAGGGAGTCTTTCAATTAAAAGTGTTCTGTTCGATAATTGCAAAAAACACCAGTTGACCATGTCGGAAATCTTGTTAGCCAATAACTTCCTGGGCTCTTTGCCTGTCCAAAGGAGGGCTTATGGAGATGAAGAGGGGGAGGAGACAAGGAGAAGCCCATGTTCTTTGTAATCCATAAGAAATGTAGGCAGGGCTGACACCACATGCTTAGAAATTCAGAACTACACTGTTTTGTCAAGTCAGAGGAAAGCAGGAGCACATTTAAGTGGCTGGCCCAACAGGTACTTTTATTGTACTTGCTACAGGTAAGTCGCCAGGATCGCTTCTGTTGTAAAGCCGACAGTCGGCTCTACAAGTTTAAACAGACTCCCGGCGGCAAAAGTCGCCGGGAGTCTGTTTAAACAGCCCCGATGCTGGCGACGTACACTGTACGTCGTCAGTCACGAAGGGGTTAAAAGGATTATACATGTGGAAATGTGCATGTATTACAGACATGTACTAAAAGATTTTTTGCATTGGCATATACTTTAAGTAATGCTACCCACCCAGCCCTGGAAAGGTTTATAGCTCTATAGTATGCCTTTAAAGAACTTTGGGTTTTTGCACTGCAACCCACCGTTTGTACAAGGCGTAATGGCTGCAAATGGCGTGCACTGGTTTGATTCACACCTAGCACATGACCACGCTGACCAATAAGTCTCGTGACCGTGCTGACCAATCATAGCTTTCCATTTGCGGGCATTGTGCCTAATACTGACTGTGGAGCTGCAGTACGGTGTACAGGCTGCACACCGGCCAGCCAGGAAAGGAAGCTACTGCTTTCAACAGAAAGGTATGAAAAGTAGGGGCTGGGAGAGGTGGTGGAGAAGTGTGGGTAAGTTAATTTTCTTACATTTTGTGAGAAAGTGGACTTACCCTTTAAAGGAGAACTATAGGGTTAAGGCTTTTCCCCATAGTTCTCCTTAGGGTAACGGGAGGACACAAACTAGCGTCCCGTCACCCTAGGTTCAGTATACCGCGAGCTGTAGCTCGCGGTATACTGAGACGCCGCAGCTGAAGCGGATCCCGACAATTATCTAGAGGCAGAGCCAGCTGTACCCGCCCCCTCCCCCGTCCGTTCCGCGAGTCAGCGCTGGCGGATCGGAGCGGGGAGGGGGAAATCCAGCCCCTCCCCTGTCACGGCAGAGAGCAGTGACAGGATCGAGAGGTGAGCGAACGCCGGTATGTGTTCGCTCACCTCCCGATCTACTGAGCCGACCTGTGACAGTCTCATTGTCACAGGTCGGCTAGAACTATGAGGTGAGTGAAAAGCACTCACCTCATAGATCTCCTTTAAGGTTGTTTGCAAGAGTGAATTGATGCATAAAGTGGATGTAGACCCCAACAACGACTGTCGAGGTACTGAGAACACCTCCTCCAGGCTGGCATCTGTTGTGAGCACTGTCCAAGTCAGGGAAAGGAAATATTTCACTGCATCCAGCACTGGACTGGAAATCCACTACACTAGGGAAAGTCTGGTCCAGGCAGATAGACTAATTTTCTGTATTGCACCATGTATCTGTTATTCTGTTTGTCTCACACAAGTAGTCTGGAGTTGGACTCAGCATACGGCACTGCCTTGAAGGATGCCACCATCAGCTCCAGATTCCTCATGCAGAATCTCAATGAGAGCTAGCCTTTGGATTGGAAGGTCTTCACCTGAAACTGAAGCATAGGGCCTTCTCTAATGGAAATAAAACCCAAGCTTTGGCCGCGATTAGAGGAGGCCCAGGTACCCCATAAGGCAGATCCAGTGCAGACGTCTAAAGGTTGAGGACACACCCAAAGCTCTCCAGCATCTAAATTGTACTCTGGAAGTTGTTAGACAGCGCTAGAGCAGACTAAGCCTTTAATAGAAGGTTGTTGCCGATACCCCACAATGTGGATACCTAGATAACGCAAAAGCACAAGGGCAGGGGTTAGCACTTTTGTAAAAAGATACCCAACCTGGCCGATCCCATGCAGAACTCCCCAATTTGGAGACGTTTGTTGAGTAACTTCAGTTCCAGGATGGCACAAACCCCACCGTTGGGCTCGGGAATCGTGCATAAATTAGAGTAAAAGCTGTGAAACCTCACCTGTGGAATGGGAACCCCCAAGGAAAGCAGTTGCCACGGCACAACCTGTAGGGCCTCAAACAGCCTTTTGAAAAACTTTTCTGACAAAACTAGCTTCAAAAAGCCGTAGAATCATCTTTATAAAACTTTGCAAAAGTGTGAACAGAAGACCACGTTGCAGCTTTACAAATTTAAGCAACTGAAGCCTGATTAAGAAAGGCCCAAGAGGCACCAACTGTTTTAGTAGGGCAGATACCGAACCCTTAATGGTACTAAAAGCTAAACACTGGTCAACCGCTGATTAAAGAACACGAAAAAGCCAGCGGGGAAACCCCAAGGACTCACAACAATGGAAATTAAACTTCCACATACGGTAGTAAATGTTAAGAGCAGAAGAACTACAAGCTTTAAGCAAAGTCAGAATTCAAAACTCCTGTATTTTTAACACCTGGGTTTCAACAGCCAGGCTGTTAAAGCCGAGTAGAGGGATGGGCGATTGCACCTTGTGAACAAAAATCTGTCCGATCTTGAAGCCATGGGTCTTCTGCCAATATATGAACCAGATCGGCATACCCCACCCTGAAAGGCCAATCTGGAGCGACGAGAAAGACCGGAACTCTTTTGTGTTCTATCCTGTGAAGTGGATAAGGTAACCGCATCGGTGGAGGAAAGACACACCACAGTCTTCTGATCCCACGGAGCTACCATGGCATCCACCGCATCCTCTTTTAGATCCCTTGTTCTGGATACAAATCTGTCCACTTTTTTTGTTGTGATGAGAAGCTAGAAGATCTGCATCCAGGATCCTCCAGCGCTAGCAAAGATGTTAAAACACCTCTGGATGGAGAAACCACCTCGCCCAGATCCAGAAGTCTGTCCCTTCTAATACTCCTGGAAGGTGGACTGTGGAAAATCACTGGCATATGAAGTTCTGTCCAGGAAAGGATATAGCACACTTCCCTGGCTGCTGAAAAACTCCTTGAGCCCCCGATTGATGCAGGTCACTGCCATGGTATTTTCCGATTGTATCTGAACTGGAAAACCTGAGAGAAGAGGGGGTCCAATGAGACATATGGCAAATTGCCCGCAACTCCAGGATGTGGATAGGTAGCTTGATTTCTTCCAGAGATCAGCAACCCTGTGATCCAGAACCCCTCTCCAACCCAAGACGACTGGCTTCCATTGTGACAACCTTTCAATGACGAGGAAGAAAGTATTTCCCTTGAGTGAAGGTGGGGAAATGTATCCACCAGGACAGAAACATCCTGATTCAGGAGCATGATCATCTTGTCCAGAGAAAGACTGGACTTGTCTCATGATGTGCGAATATTCTATAGAAGAATCCTGAAGTGAAACTGATCAAAAGGAACTGCTTCGAAGGTGAAAAACATTACTCCCAGAACTTGCATGCATGATCGCATGAATGATAGTAAGTGAAAACAAAGCAGGTGAACTTGACTCTCCACCTTGGTTGAATTGTCCTGGGGAAGAAAAATCTTGGCCAGGAATGCATCGAAAAGAATATGAAGTATTCATCATCTATTAATATAGCACAATCATGATGATTAATACATTAATTGTGCTATATTAATAGATGAGCAATAATGTATGCAATGGAATTTTGTACATAGATTACTAAACTGATTATGTATCTGTAAATAGATTCTTGCCTCATCTCCCCTGAAAAAGCGCATCAGCGAAATGCATTGGTAGTATATGAATTATTGCCATAATGGAAATGATGAAAATAGGATATGAAAACATCATACTTACTAAGTTGAGCATAGGGATAACCGTAATTATATAAATGTGTCAATAAGGCAGAAGTGAGATCATGATTGTATTTGTATGTTTTTAATGGACTCTATGGATTTTTTATGGAATTGCTAATACATTTTGTATATTTTTTTTAAATTGAAGTCTGATGCCTCTAAAAACCCCACTGCCACTTCGATGTGTTTTTTTGTAATATTAATTAAAACGGGGGTGAGGTCTCAGACCACCTGGAGATCATGGACTTGGGTAGTAAATAATTGTGTTTATAGTTAAATTATTGGATATACAGGTGACAGTTTTTTGGCTTGTTGCCTAATAAATGTTACTAGTTATACCTAATATTGTGGTCAGCAACTTATGGCACACATGCCTGGGTGGGCACGCAATGTCTTTTTCAGTGACACAAAATCACTGCTGGCAAAGGCTGTAAGTGACAGTTAATGTGGAAAAAAAGGCTGCCAATATTGGACACCCCTACCATTTCTATTTACAAGATGAATCTAAACTTTACATTAATGCAACACTATAAACCTAAAGCAGACTTACTTCCTTTTGCATCATCACCACCTCCTCCATCCAGTTTCTTTCTGTGTCTGAGGGATTCTGGGCCAGCATTCTTTTCAGAACCTCCACTTCACTTTCACACTGCTTTAATGAAAGCTTCAGCTTGGAGTTATCCTCAACAAGGTCCTATTTGAAAGAAAAAAAAACCATATCAAGACCAGACAAACTGAAACAAGCAAACAGTCAATATGCACAAAAAATAAAAAATATCCCTGTTGGCTATCACTATTCTGAAAATTCACTTGAGGCTACAGGAAACCCAACATGGTCCCACACAGCTGTAAATAAACTATGGATTTAAAATAAATTCCACTTGGCACCACATCTCTGTGGAAGCCTAGCAGACCCGGTCACATCTGTAACAGTGTCCGAGTGGAGCAGCGGGACATCAGCCATAAAATCACTGGCAGAAAAAGCTCCCGTGTGATACTCTCCCAATGCAGGGCAGCGGTGTGACCCGCATCTTGCTGTATTAACAACAAAACATACGTATAATCTAAAGCGTGGTAAACACTACTATAGTTCAATGGGACTTTTAGTATTTTCTGTAATGACCGCAGTTTTATTCAATTTGATTATTTAACATGTATACATAAATGTAAGTGGCTGGTATAGAATAAGACAAATCCAGCTATTCAATATGAATCCACAAAAGAAATTTACTTTTATTGGAATAGAAATGTTTTTTTTACCTCGCTCTCATTCATTTTGACTTGCTGCTGAAGTATCTTCTGTTCACGCTGATCGACCAACTCCTGAAGCACTCCGATGTACTATTGGACAAGCAGGCTTGTGTAAGTACAGAATTGTATTAACCATTTCATGACTGACAGGTCTGCCCTGCTTAAAAAAAACACGATCACCCATGCAAAGTAAAGTGCCATTGCACTCACCTCTCCGTAAAAGGTCAGCAGGTTGGTCTGGCAAGAACGATCCTTCCTAAATCTGTACTGATTATCAGTTATTATGCCATGATCCTGGACGAATTCCACTAAGTAGTCCTTAATAATTCCCTCTAACAGTTTACATACTCTGCATGTTAGACTAACTGGTCTATAGTTCCCCGGAAGGCATTTTGACCCTTTTTTGAATATAGGTACCACATTAGCCCTCCGCCAGTCGCTTGGCACTCTACCAGCCATTATGGAATCCTTAAAAATTAGGAACAATGGCCTCGTTATCTCCTTGTTCAGTTCCTTGAGTACCTTGGGGTGTAGATTATCAGGTCCTAATGCTTTATTTGCATTTAGTAGTTTAAGCCTTTGTTGTATCCCAGTTTCAGTCAACCACTCAGGCGTATTTCTTGCTTTATCATGTACATTGAACCAGTCTGTTTCCTTGGTGAATACCGACGAGAAGAATCTATTTAGCGCCTCGGCCCTCTCCCTGTCGTTTGTGAATAACGTCCCATTTATGTCCTTTATTGGGCCCATTTGTTCTTTTCTCCCCTTTTTACTGTTTATGTACTAATAACATTTGTAAGTGTAACAGTGTAAGCCAGGGGGTTGCTGGCTGTATAAGTGAATGGTGATAATGGAGCAGAAAACCATCGGCCACATAGTACAAGAAAAAAACCTTACTAAAGATTTGCACCAACCACCACACAGACAAACAGCCAGGGGGGGAAAAGGGAATAAAAGGATTTTGTACTTAAAGTAAAATCCTTTTCTCGCGGTCCATTGAGGGACACAGCTCTGAAGAATTCTGAGACAGAGTTATGCTGTTGCCTCCAGAAGAAATGGACACTATGCAAAAAAAAACTTAAAGCCTGCAACTTTAAAGGACATAACCGCTGCCACCTCATACTGCTTGCTACAGCTGGCAGGTATGAAAGGAGATGAAGGTAGTACTATGTCTTGGAAGTAGTAGACGTCTTTTGAAACTGGGAACTAAAGAAACTTGCAAAAGACAGAAGGAGCAGGCTTATCACACTGATACCTATTTTTCCACATCTGAGGTAAGCGTTTACTTTTAATAATCTAATCCAAGAGAGCTTCAAAAGAATGACCTTTCATGTGGAGTAAACGAAAAAGTCCCTTTTTGCACTGGGGATCTGCCGACCAAAAGTTAAACCAGATAGCTCTGCATATCGGAAGACAGACACAAATGAACAAGAAACACATCTATGAAATGAGAAGCAACAGTCACCTGTTCCACACAATCAATAAAATGTGTATCATCTCCAGCAGTCTATTGCAGTCACCTATTGTCAGAAACAGACCCCTTTACCACTAAAAATCAACTGTGAATAGACTTCAAATGGTCACGTTCTGAGAACAGTGGCCAGATATTCACCTTTTCCTTACTGGAAAGTTTTTCCTCAAGGACAACATTTCTTTTTCTCAGCTTGTCAATTTCTTCCTGCAGGTCACGCACATCAGATTCATGCTGGTATCTCTGAGTCTGCAGCTTTCTCTTCAATGAGCAGCTTCAGAAAACAAAAAGATGAAATTTAAGGTGCATTTCTTGATTGAAATTAGATTTCAGAATGAACAGTCAGCCTAAAGACACATCTAACACAAACAGGCATCAAATTCCATCAACACAGCTCAAGCTAGAACAGGGGGCTCCGTAATTAGCCACGATGGCCTGCAAAACATTTTAAAGGTTAATTAGCTTTTGCAATTATCATTAAGGCAGAGGCTGAGAAACCAGACCCTTTTTAATGAACCCGTTGTAAACATAGTTATTACAACAGGATTTTTGTCTTACCTGTATAATCAGTTTCTTGGATCACATTGCAGGAAACAGAAGTGAATCTTTAAACCACTGGGTTATGAAGCTACATTCAGGTAAATGGATACTGGCAAATCAAAGCTGCAGGAACAGCATAACCTCTTCCACTCTGTCTGCCTCAGTATTGTAGCAAGCAGTACACAGTGGAATCACAGAAGACAGGTGTCCTATGATGTACTCCAAGAAACGGTTTTTACAGGAAAGACAAAAATCCTAATTTTTTTAAATTCTATATCACAGCACACAAGAAGATAATCTTTAAGCCACTTGGACGTTCAAAAGCAGTCTAATAGAGGGGCAGGCAACACAGCAAAATGGCAACATAGCCAAGAATAATAACCAACCCTACGAGCAACCAGGGCAAAAGGAGAATCTTTTGCAGGGGCCACCTGCAAAACAGATCTGAACACCCACCAGGTAAAACTTGACAAACATTTTTTTTTAAAAAGGACTAGGTTGCAGCTTTACAGATTTGGGACATGGAAGGCTGATCCTGAAAGATCCAGGAAGTGCTAATGCCTCTGCCAGAATGTGCATTGGCTGGAAAGTAGGGTCTTTTTCTGTCAGCTCGTAGTCCTATACAAGCTAGTAGTCCTATTCAGGGAGTCCCTCAGAAATCACGAAGGGGGACTCGGACTTCCCATAGCTCTAACTTGGTGGCCAAACCAGCTGCTGACAAGCCTGTAGGATTCACATCACAGCTCAACTTTCAAGCTGCAAGGATTAAAGTCCACATACATGATTTCTCTCATTTAGCCCCTCCCTCCGATAAAAGGGGGTGTGTTTTGAAACCCTGAAACGCATTGGCTACTCTACTTGAATGTCCACTAGCCTTAATGGAATACAGTTGTATCTGGGCTATTTTAATTGGTGTGATGATTCAATTATTACATATGTGTTCACTGTCAAGCCAAGGATAATGTGGAGAACCTTTGGCTTGTGGAAGCTGCCTACCCATCAGCCAGATCACACATACCGTGTTTCCCCGAAAATAAGACACTGTCTTATATTTTTTGGGGCTCAAAAAAACACACTAGGTCTTATTTTCGGGGGAGTTCTTATTTCTTTTTTAAATGTACAACAATCCACACTTATTTATGTAGAAAAGTCTACATGTATTCATGTACAAAAATATGGTGATCAGAGCAATCAGGGGTGCCGTACCTTTCCAAGAGCAATTTGGTAACCAATCGCTGGCCAGGATGAGCGAAGTGCACTTTCACTATCGATTCCTCACAGGCGGAGTGCATTTAGTATCACTCCGCCTGTGACAGGAGCCGGCGCTATATAGAGGAGGCATCGGCTTATGCGGCTCTGCTACCTCCGCTGCCGCCTTGCTCCCTCTAGCGCTGGCTTCATTGGCACCACTGATTCTCTCCCCCCTCTCCCGCGGCTCTTCAAGTTCCCCCTTATGCCACCACTGGCCCTGGGAATGGTCACAATTAGGTCTTATTTTCGGGGTAGGTCTTATATTTTAGCAATTCCCAAAAATAGTACTAGGTCTTATTTTCGGGGTAGGTCTTATTTTCGGGGAAACAGGGTATTTACCCCTGCACTGCTCGCTTTTGTCTAGGCAAAAAAAAAAAGTTATACTCACCCAAAGCCAGCTTTTTCTTAGACCGGTCCTTCAAATGTCTCTCCCTGTTCTCTGCAGCGGTCTAAGGTCATGTAAATCATCACTTTCTATACACAGTGTATAGACAGGCTGGAGGGAGCACCATGACTGTTCGCAAGTTCGGAGGTTCAGGTGAGTATATCTTTGTTATTTTATGACCTAGACACAAATGAGCACTTAACCCTTACAGTGCAGGGGGCAGTCCCACTGCAAGGGTTACTTAAAAAAAATTTCCTGGAGTTCTTTTTAAGGTGGTGATAAACTAATGCTTTGTGGGAGACATAGCTAAGCTGTATGTGTTTATGTGAGTGGAAGAGATTCTAACAAGAGTCTACAGTAATTAAGATATAGCCAGAGAACTAGCTGTATCTTAAGCAGGCCAGGCAATGTTAGCCTACGAATATAAGTCAGCATCCTTTGAGTTCTTTACCTCTTTGGTTTGCATGTTATGTAAATGCTAGAGAATTATTCTTTTAAAAAGGTAACAGATACTGAAGACAAGAATGGAGAAGAAGCTGCAAAGCAAAAACAGAACAAAGTGGTGCAAGTCTTGACACCGTCTGCATCACCAGAATATAAGTTAAGGTCAATGATTTCACTTACATGTCCATCTTCAAGTTGCTAATTAAATCTTGTTTGGTGTCCATGGCACGTGATGCAGCTGTAACAATGTCTGACACAACACCGCTCAGTTCATGCATCATGTCTGCCAAATTTACCACTGGAGTGCCTGGTGGTGAAGTAAATGTTACATACTGCTTGAAAATGTATATAGATAAATGCAATAATGTATCAAGTTAGTTAAAGTGACACTAAACTCAGGAGTTAAATCTTGAAATGCATTCAAGTACATTAACTATAAAACAATACTGTGCCTTATTTGTGTATCACTCGGCTGTAGATCCTCAAATCATCTCTGAATTGGTGCCGACACTGTCCTTCCTTCTGGAGGGTGGCTACATTTGTTCCCCATTGTCCTTGTGTGTGTTGTAAAGTATCCACCGCTCCAAGCTTGCTCCCATGATGGACTACAATCTCAATCCAAATTAGTAAACTAAATATCAGATAAAGTAGCACCACTCCAAACTAACTCCTGTGATAAACTAAACATTAGATTGTAGTCAATCAATTTGTATGTAGATTATAGTCCATCACAGGTGTGAGCTTGGAGTGATGGCTACTTTACAACACACACAGGAACCATGGGGAACAGATGTAGACCCCTCCAGAAGGAAGGACAGTGTCGGCACCAATTTAGAGATAATTGGAGGATCTACAGCTGAGTGTTGTACAAATAAGGTACAGTTTTGTTAACAGTTTAATGCATTTTTAAGATTTAACTCTTGAGTTTAGTGTCACTTTAAATATTACTTGAAAATATTAAAACTACTTTCTTTCTTCTTCATTCTTTCAAGATACATTATAGAAAGTAAAGCCAAGAGGCATTGTATTTAATAAAAACATTCATAAACACACTATTTATACTGCTCCTTATTTTGTGCTACAGTATTGACTTTTTTCATTTTCTTGATTACTTATCAATGCCTATGGACCCATTAACTATTTAATGGCAACTCAAGCCAGAAAACCACATTAAACTATATATTTTATGAATTGAGTAGAGACTCACCTGCAGCTGGTGAGGCCACTGACTTTACAACAGTGAAGGCAGTTGTTTCACTCCAAATACCTTCAGCTTTGGGATCTTCAGAATCTACGCGGGGGAAAAAAAAATGGTGTCTTTTTGAAACACGTCTAGCATAAATCCTCCTACATTTTTGTTGCTAACTCATATCAGCATTACATAGCCCAGCTATGACTTCATTCAACGTATGAAGAAAAAGCAGCCAGTGTATTGCAGCAGTGGATCGATGGTAAGGTGGCACAGAAGGAGTCTGGCAAGAGGAAAAATGCTCTCTCCTTGCTCAAACTGTCAAAAAAGAAGTTCTTCCAACCCTCCAGAAGCAGGCACCCCAAAACATAAATGTGCTCTGTAAACACCCCCCCCCCCCCCCCCCCCCCCCCCCCCCCGGAC